TTACGTTAGTTCTACTGTTTACCACACTTAGCGGTATTATTGTACTTTATCACCGTGGCGATTTACCACGGAGTTATTATCGTGCATTTTTCTTTTTCACGTCTGTCTGTCCACTTATGGCGGGAGAAAGAAATTTAATTAAGAAGCCTCGCAGCGGCGACCGCTGATGGTTGATTTACTACAGGCACCTGGGGTGAGGCGGGGGTAGCATGAGCAAAGCCGCGTCCCGTATTCCAGTGGTATGACATCAGTTAGCGGCTTTGTGTCTTTTTAGTAGTGGCGTGGCCCCAATGCGCTAGACAGATGAAGGTCTTATCTCCACACCGCCCTTCCTCCCGCCCGCCCGCTTGCCCGTCCAGTATTCCAGTCACATGACATCAGTTAGCGGATTTGTCTCTTTTTTAGTGGCGTGGTCCTAGTGCGCCTGACAGATAAAGATCTGTCTGGCCATTAGCCATCAGCTGAAAGTGGAGTCGTCCCGTTTCAGTGTTGTGTTGGTGTGATATCAAGCATTATAAACATTGCATCTGATGTAAAATATCGCGCCTCAAATGTGGATCTATCCTTTAATGCTCCACCTTCACATCAATGTGCTGTCTGGATGCCGTTCTTTGCCGTGTTCAGCCGATTTTGCTTCTCAGGTTACTTGTATTGTGAAGGACATTTGACTGTTGAACCGTGGATATTCTCTCCATCCATCCCAGTGCCCCACAGAAACTGAGATGTGAGACTACACCACGATTGAGAGGTGTCTATGCAATCAGCCTTTAATTGGGAAAGAAGTCCATTTTATATGAGTGGCAAGTGAGGTGTGAAAGGCCGTTGGTCAAGTTGCCAACCGGTGTGTAATACGTACATACATCCACAGGGGACACCTCTTGGTCCACGGACACACCCCATATTGAAGGTACTTGCAGTTCTACTTTGCGCTGTACATTACGCAGCTATGCGTCGGCTCCCCTATCTGCCTCTCCTTGTCCTTTCATGTCTTTCCCACTCTGCTTTAATGAGACTATCATAACTGAAACAAAAGGCGATCAATGCGCGCTTTTTCTTTGAAGGTGAGCCATGTTCACAGTTGTGGGGTTTGCGTGTTGTTGCATTGCCGACGGTAACATCAGGAACATGGATTATCAATGGCGAGGACGTTGTACTTATTGTATCAAAATTAATTGAAAGTGTAGTCGGAGTAACAGTCCAAGTTGATTGTGGCCAAATAAAGATGGTCGCAAAAAGGCAGATTAAGTAGCACTGGACTGACAGCAGGAATATGGACGAGTCAGGCAAAACTGCCATTTCACTTTAACCCTGACGAATTATTTGTGCTCAACTTTGGGTCGGCTGCTGTGCAAATTCCACTAAATAGCTGGCTGGAATGGTGTATCCCTCACTTATGTGGGTATGCCTAAGTGAAATCAAAGGAGCGCGGAGGTATTCTAAGCCAATAAGCTAGTTGTACCGCCAAGAATGATATGCTTGTCAAGACTAGTTACACTAGCAACAATAATGGGCAAGTGCTTCAA